TCTGACGAAGTCAGCTCATTTTCTGCCAATCAAAGTAAATTTCAACATGGAACAGTTTGCACAATTATACATCAGAGAGATAGTCAGATTGCATGGAGTTCCAGTCACCATTATTTCAGATAGAGACCCGAGGTTTACATCTAAATTTTGGAAGAGTTTGCAGGCAGCCATGGGGACGAAGCTGATATGATATGATATTTCATGATATGACGTTATGGCCATTCCGGTACAAATGATATGATATGATATGATATGAGCTCTTACCGGTTTTTAAAGATATGATGACGGTATGATTTTTTTGACGCATGTTCCAAAAATTTTATTCGGGATTGCACCATATTTTAAGTCATACTGAGTATTCTCATGTACTTGCCCTTTCCCTACTCCTCACAGGTTGAACGGGTCGTTGGCTGGCGGGCGATGAGGTGTAGTCGTAGTGCCAGGATTTATAGGACACAGTAAAATAAATCAATGTAACGTGCCCGAAATTCCAAATTTTAGCAGAAACCTTAGTTGTTTTAATTTATTAGACTCGTTCAATTTAATTTTTAGAAATTTGGGACAAATTTATTTGAACATGTAATTTCGTACGATGACTTGATAAATCTTAGCTAGTTGTGGGTACTTTTGTGGTTTCGTTGTTAATTAAGTTTCTGTTAGACGTCCTTATTTTCACCCAATTTATATGTTTGAGGGGTACACAATTTTAATGCATATGTGTGCTGTAGAAAAACTTTGTCTCATAATTTTAAATGCATGAGTAGTTCCCATGCTTGTATAATATATGTGATGTACTATAATGATATTTAAAATGGAAAAATCTTGAATCTTGAGGCATGACAGAAGAGAGAGAAAATATATTCAAAAGTTGATATTGATATTGACCACTGCACGTGTTGGTAGGAAGGAGGATGACATTTCCATAATTCGTATGGACTTTCTTTCATTTTGTTGAGAAGTATTTTATTAAGAATGCTATTTGTCGTTACAATAGCTTTCTCCCACAAGTTCTAAGGTAGACTCGAACTTATCAACATGACGTTCATCATCTCCTTAAGAGTTTGGTTTTTGCATTCAGCAACACCATTCGATTGAGGAGAGTATGGTGCCGCTATTTGATGAATAATTCCATGTTCGAAACTGAATTCTTCAAACGGTGCTCGGTATTCACCTCCTCTATCACTACGAATATTCTTTATTCGTTTATCAAGTTGAATTTCAACTTCTGCCTTATAACGTTTAAAGGCATCCATCGCCTCGTCTTTACTTCTTATAAGAAAGAAATAACAATAGTTTGTACAATCATCAAAGAAAGTAACAAAGTATTTCTTACTACCTTTAGTTTGAACATATTTCAAATCACAAATGTTACTATGTATTAGCTCTGAAGGTGTAGTGTTCCTTTGAATCGAGAGGAACGGTCTTTTAGAAAATTTTGCTTCAACACATACTTCGCATTTATGAATGGGATTGATCTTAAGTGCCATAATTAAATTTTGATTCATAAGTTTGCGCAAAGATTTGTAATTCACATGTTCTAATCGACTATGCCACAAACAAGACAATTCAAGCATATAAACGAAATTTAAAGTTTTATTCATAATGCTTTGCCTAGGTACAACAATAAGAACGTTCATTTTGAACATTCCATCACACATGTATCCATTCCCTACATACATCTCATTCTTAGTGAGTGCAAATTTATCGGATACAAATACAAGTTTAAAACCATTTTTACTAAGTAGAGACCCAGACACTAGATTCTTCCATATATCTGGCACATGTAGGACGTTGTTGAGGACGAGTTCTTTGTCCAATGTCATCTTCAAAGTGACATTCCATTTTCCTTCAACTTTGGAACTTGCAGAGTTTCCCATGAAGAGTTGTTCTCCATCCAATTTTTGATAATTAGCACCAGTGTTAATGCACCATTCCCTTAAGTTTCCAACTTGGTTCCACTCAGAAACAACTATAGATAAATTCATCTCTTGTATCCCTTTAGAAAGGGTATCTTTTTCAACTATGTTAGCATGTGCATTCTTCTTTGGTTTTCGACATTCGCTTGAGCGATGCCCGGCCTTTCCACGGTTGTAGTAGTTCCCCTTGAACTTTTTGGCCTTCTTAGAGTTGTCTCTTCACGGTACCTCACCGAAGAACTTTCGCTTCTTGTTGATAGCCTTCAATTTGGTTTCAACAAACTTTGCTCCAAGTTGGACAATAGGCCTTCTATCAATTTTCCTATTGTCTTCTTCGATCTTTAAGCAGACAATCAATTATTCTCCTTGCATTTATGCTTGAGGTAGTTTTTGAAATCTCTCTACATATGAGGGAGCTTTTCAATGATGGCAGCAACTTGGAAAGATTTGCTTAATTTCATCATCTCGACATGAATGCCATGTAACAGAACTTGAAATTCTTGTACTTGACTAATCACTGTTTTGGAATCTACCATCTTGTAGTCTAACAATTTGTCTACTATGAACTTCTTAGTTCCAGCATCCTCGGTCTTGTATTTCTTCTCCAAAGAGTCCCACAGTTCCTTTGTCGAGTTCTTCGAACTATACACTCCATATAGTTTGTTGTCCAATCCGTTTAGTATATAATTTTTGCACAGAAAGTCTAAGTGCTTCCATGCATCCAAAACAATATCGATTTTCACGATTATTTTCTCCTTCTTGTACCATTGGTGTAGTCTCCTTCAAAAACTTTGTCAAGTTTAGAGTGGTAAGATAGAATAACATCTTTTGTTGCCATCTCTTGAAATCCACACCTCCAAACTTTTTCAGTTTTTCGCCATGCGGGATTGCAATATTTTGAAATGGTATAGCCAATGACAAAACCACATTGTTTGAACCATTTTGACTTAAAGTAACCTCATTGGTGGCCATTTCTGTTACACAAACAGAAGTTCAACACAAATAAATCAAAAGAAGGAAATATCACATGAATTGTATTTCAAAAGATGAAGAGAAAAGATTAACAACATTAAACAATTTAAAACACAATAAACTTTTTCATCCAATCATATTTTGTCAACACTCATCGTGTCAAGGTATCTGTTAACATTTTCTGGCGAAGCGGCTTCACCCTATAAATTTATAAAGTTTTCATGAGTTTTGAGTGAGGACATTGGTTATATACTCCTCTCAAAATGTCATCTTCTCTGTCCCGTTTTCTTTTAGGGTTTCTCGTGTTTTGGGTTGATGGCGACAGTTTTGAAATGGCGGTAATGAAAGAAGAGTTAGTTGGTCTATTTGAGATTATGGGTTTACTTATGGAAGATCCCACCTCAGCCCAAATGCACCATCTACCTTGCACCGACACTCCATGGCCTGGTCAACAAGCTCGGACTGTAATCTTTCATGTCACAAAGATTCATGTTGGCCTTGATATTCTCACATCACCTTGCAAATCTACTGCTCAAATTATTGAACAAATTGAGAATGAAATGAACTGAATTTTATTCAATCAGGCAAAAATCAGAAATCAGTACATTTACATTGCATTTAAATAGAGAAAAGAAGAATCTAACCAACCAACTAACTTATCTAACTAACATTTCTAACTTCTTCTAGTTAGCTCCATCTTCCGATTAGCTCCAGCTAAGTCCAGCTTCCTTCTTCTTCCAACTCCAGCTGTATAATCTATTACTCTCTCTCAAGATGGACAATGGAGATTAGGGCAGCCATCTTGGATAATAAAGGAAATAAGATGGAAGTTGGTAATGCCTTAGTAAAAAATCAGCAAGTTGGTGTTGTGTTCGAACATGTAAGAGTTTAATAAAACCATCAGTAAGCTTATCTCTTAAAAAGTGGTAGTTGATTTCTATATGTTTGGTGTGTTCATCAAAAATTGGGCCACTTGATTGTCACAGAAGATCAGTGCAGGAACAACTGGTGAAACCTGAAAATCAAGAAGTAATTGATTAATCCAAACCAATTCACTAGTGGTAGACGCCAATGCCCGGTACTCTACTTCAGCTGAGGATTTGGATAAGGTTGTCTATTTCTTCGCTTTCCATGACATTAAAAAGTCTCCAAGAAACACACAAAATCTTGTGACAGATCTCCTTGAATCAAGGCAAGATCCTCAATCTGCTTATGCAAAGGCTCTTAATTTAAGGAAGATTGTGCAAAGAACAAAATTCCATGACCTGGAGTGGATTTGATATATTTCAGCAAGTGACGAACTTCATCTAGATGTGGCTGTCTTGATTGGGACACAAATTGGCTTAACTTGTGAATAACAAATGTGATATCATGCCTTGTAATGGTTAAGTAAAACAGTCGCCCAATTAACCTTCTATACATTGAAACATCAGTTAAAACTTCACCCTTAAAGGAGGTGAGGCGAATCTTTGGATCCATGGGCAATGAAGCAGGCTTACAAGCCAGAAAACCTGTGTCTTTCAGTAGCTGGAGAGTATATTGACGCTGTGATAAGAAGATGCCTTTAGATGATCTGGCAATTGCCAAACCCAAAAAATACTTCAGCTGTCCCAAGTCTTTTAGCTTGAATTGGCTATGTGAGAAAGTCTTGAAGTATTCAATCTCCTGATGATTAGGTCCGATGATGATAATATCATCTACATACACCAGTAAAGCAACAAAACAATTACCGGTGCATTTGGTAAATAAGGAATAGTCAGACTTCGACTAGTGAAATCCATGTTGAATGAGAGCATTTGAGAATTTTGTAAACCACTGCCTTGAGGCTTGTTTCAAACCGTATATTGACTTGTGAAGTCTATATACTAGATGCTCCCCCTGTTTACGTGAATTAAGTTGTTTATTGTATCCCATTTGAAGATCCATATAAATCTCCTCAAACAAATCACCATCGAGAAATGCATAGTTGACATCCAACTGTATAATCTCTCATTTATGTGTTGCAGCAATAGCCAGAAGAACTTTGACTGTTACTAGTTTAGCCACGGGAAAAAAGGACTCAATAAAATCCAATCCTTCTTGCTGATTATACCATTTTGTCACCAGTCAAGCTTTGTATCTATCAATGCTTCCATCTGATTTATACTTGATTTTATAAACCTACTTTCAGCCTATTGAATGTGTACCCTTAGGTAAGTTTGTAATGGACCAAGTATTATTCATTTCCATAACTTTCAGTTCATTCTCCATAGCTTCTCTCCAATGATCAAACTTCACAGCTTGATGATAAATTGAGGTTTGAAATTTGAAGAGATGGATAGAAGAAAATTGATGTATGCAGGAGAAAAACAACTATATGAAATATACTTGGAAATTGGATAAGGTGCTGGCTAGGAATTCCTTAAGAGATTATAGTGAAAATCCCTAAGGTATGGAGTGGATTGCTAATTCTAGAAGACCTCCTGACATTAACGAGGTCTGTGGAAGAATTATTAATGGGATGAGGATTAGATTGCAAGTCCCATGAGTTACTTGCAGTCTCAGTTGGTTCTTCAGGTGATGAGATATTATGTGAAGTATTTGTGAAAATGTTAGAGGCAGAATTTGGAAAACCAGTTGGAGTAGAAATGGGTATATCAGATGCAAATGTCAGTAAGACAATGTCAGTGAATGAATCAATATCCTCTGATTGATGAGTTATAGAATGAAATGGGAATGTTTGTTCATGGAAAACAACATTCTTGGAGACTATGAATGTTTTTTAGATAATATCATAGAGCTTATAGCCTTTTATGCCTATAGGGTAGCCAACAAAAATGCAGGCCTTAGCTCTAGGATGGAATTTTGACCTTTGGGAGGATAGGATAGAAGCAAAGCACAGGCAGCCAAACACTTTTAGTAAAGAATAGTCCACTAGAGAGTTGTACATTAGAGAGAAAGGGGATTTATTTAGGAGAACTGAAGTTGGTGTTCATTTTTGCAGATGTTAAGTGACTGTTTAACATGCTCATCAGTTGCTAGTATTGATCTTGATTTAATGTCTGCATGAAATCCCCCACACTGCTCTGGTTTTGATATGAAATATTCTCATAAACTTGATTAGCAACAATGTAATTTGGTGGTTTATTTGCACCAGGTTGAGCAGAAGATATAGGCCTCCGCTTGATCTTATATCCAGGTGGATAAACATGTAACTTGTAGCATTTATCCACGAAATGACCAGCATAACCATAGTAGGTACACATAGGCTTTCCTTCGTTTGCAACTGATTATACATTTGCCCAGTATTATTCTTCTTGACATCATTTATGGCATAAAAAGCCATAGAGTCACCTGTTATACCAATGGCATTGGCAGCTACACCAACATTCCTTTGATGCTCTTCTTGAGATACAAGAGAAAACACCTTTTTAATAAGAGTTATAGGATCCATGAGTAATAGTTGTCCTCGAACTTGAGCAAATGAGTCATTTAAACCCATCAAAAAGGACATCACATACTCAGTTTGGTAATGATCAGTTAATTTCTTAGATCTACCACAGTTGCACCTTTCACATGAACACACTGGTCTGTAATTGCTTAATTCTTCCCAAATTGTCTTTAATTTTGTAAAGTACGTACTCACAGAGGATTGTCCTTGAGTATGGTTCATCAATTCACACCTTAATTTGAAGATACAAGGTCCATTCCGCTGCTGATACCTCTCCTGCAGATCAACCCATATATCATGAGTAGATTATGAGTAAATGACACTAGCAGAGATCTCCTTAGAAACTGAGTTAAGTATCCATGAAATGACAATGTTGTTATTGCGGATCCATTGATTGAGGAGATCATCATTGCCTTGAGGATGAGTTGTGGATCCATCGATGAAACCTATCTTATTTTTCACGGACAATGCAATCACCATTGCTCGATTCCATGAAGTATAATTGTCACCGGTTAAGGACTGTGAAACAAGAATAAGCCCCGGAATATCAGAGTAATGGGTGAAATATGGACTAGATCCATCATCAATAGCTGAATTGCTCATGGATGGATAAGAATTATTCTGATCATGTGCATTTGCTGCTGATGCCATGATGAATCAGTAAGTCAGAATGAAGAAAGAGAAAGGATCAGTGATGATGATTCAATTGAGAAGAAATTGAGAAGAAGTAGTGCAAACGAAGGAAACAGAGAATTGCTCTGATACCATATTGAACAAATTGAGAATGAAATGAACTGAATTTTATTCAATCAGCCAAAAATCAGAAATCAGTACATTTACATTGCATTTAAATAGAGAAAAGAAGAATCTAACTAACCAACTAACTTAACTAACTAACTCCTAACTAACTAACACACACTTCTAATTTCTTCCAGTTAGCTCCATCTTCCGGTTAGCTCCAGCTAATTCCAGCTTCCGTCTTCTTCCATTTCCAGCTCCACCTGTATAATCTGTTACAAATTTCACTATCTTCGTTGAAATTACCTTATCTCAAAGCCCTTTCTTTGATAAGCAGCTGTTTCACCAAATCACCTGTTTTTTTGAGCAAAACACTCTTTGGCTCACTGCCCTCCTTGGAGAATTTAGATCTTGAGTCAAGTCCAAGTCACTTTATCAAATATTAAAAGTTTGAAAGTTCTATGCTTGTTATAGAACAATCTTTATGGAGTAATTTCCAAGGAAATTGGAGGGCTTGTTAATTTAGAGCAAATTGATATAAGTTATAACAACTTGAGTGGAACAATCCGAGGAGAAATTGGAGGGTTAAAAAGTCTGTCCATTTTAGATCTCAGCTGGAATTCTTTACAAGGGTTGGTGCCTTATTCAATGGGAAATCTGCACTTCCTTAAATTGACTTAAGCTGGAACAGACTTCAAGGAAGAATACCTTCAGCGTTAGGGAAATTAAAGAGGTTACTCTTATTAGATTTGAGTCATAACTCCTTGGAAGGGCCAATCCCTGAAAATCTATCAGGTTTTGCAGCAATAACTGTACTTAATAATGGAGGGCAACCCGATAAATACTGGGATACCTTCATCTATTGGGGCACTAATGAAGCTCACAGTGTTAAGTTTTTCAGGGTGTGGTTTAACAGGGACAATCCCAAGTACAATTTCAAGCTTGAAAAATTTAACTGCATTGTCCCTTGATAATAACGGCCTCAAGGGCACAGTCCCCCAGGAGTTAGGGACCCTGCCAAATATAAATACATTGAATTTGAGCCGGAATCAGCTTTCTGGGGAACTATTATATCCCGAAGAGTTTTTCATTAGGCTCGGCCAAAGGTTAGATACAAGAGGAAACAAAGGATTATGCATAAATCAGCAGCCTCAAAGCAAGAAAACCAGTACGAGATTCCAGCAAATTCTTCCTTGTTTGTTCACAAGATTTCCAGCTAGTAACAAAACTTTGTCCGAAGATTCTCAAAACGTGAAGCCAACGTTGTACAATAGAATTTTGAATTCAAACACTGAGGGGGTACACCAAAGTTTTGTTTTTCCTGGTCTAATATTCCTTTTTTCTTGTTGGGCTTATTTTTTATGATTTTATTGGAAACTGGTTTTGATTCCTGAAATTTGA